ATCCCCCAGAACCCCCAAAACCAGCATCACCCCCCCAAAACACCATCACACCCCAGAACCCCCCGCAGCCCTGATAACCCCAAAACCCCGATAATCCCCCACAGCCCCACCCCAAACCCCAATAGCTGCACCCCAAAGCCCCACCCGGCCTTATCGGGGCCTCCCTGCCGTGGGTGGGGTCCCATTGTCACTGTCCCTGTCCCTCTATCACTGTCCTGTGTCCCCCAGGTGGCCGAAGTGGGCGTGGGCTTGCTCTGGTGGGGGGTGTTTGCAGGGACAGCCTGTCACTGTCCCTGTGTCACTGTCCCTGTGTCAGTGTCCCTGTGTCCCTGTCAGTGTCCCTGTGTCACTGTCCCTGTGTCACTGTCCCTGTCAGTGTCCCTGTGTCACTGTCCCTGTATCACTGTCCCTGTGTCCCCCAGGTGGCCGTGGATAGCCGGGCCCTGTCCCCATTGTCCCTGTCTGTCCCCCAGGTGACCAAGGTGGCCATGGACAGGCTGTCCCTGTCCCCAGGTGGCCGAGCTGGCCGTGGACTCGCTGTGCCGGGGGGTGTTTGCCGGGGACAGCCGGGCCCTGAGCGTGCGCAGCTGCTTCCCCGCGCTGTTCCAGGCCGAGAGACTGCGGGGCTCTGTCCTGCTGGGGCTGGCACTGCCACACGGTGGGGACACTGGGGACACCCTGGGGACACTGCTGGGGCTGGCACTGCTGGGGCTGTCCTGCTGGGGCTGGCACTGCCACACGGTGGGACCCTGGGGACACCCTGGGGACACTGCTGGGGCTGTCCTGCTGGGGCTGGCACTGCCACACGGTGGGGACACTGCTGGGGCTGGCACTGCCACACGGGGGGACACTGCAGGAACACTGCTGGGGCTGGCGCTGGCATCTGGCGGGCACAGGGACAGAGGGACACCACGGGGACCCCCAGGTGCCACCCCTTGGACGGGTCCATCCTATGGGGCTGAGACAGGGGACACCGTGGGGGGCTGGGGACAGGGTGGGGACACACGGGGCTGGGGACAGGGTGGGGACCCCTGGGATCCAGCGAGGGCTGGCACGGGGGACACCGCGGGGACACCGCGGGTCCCCCCTCGCGTTGTCACGTTGTCGCCGCGGGTGTCGCCGCAGGTGTGGCCGCAGGTGACAGCGAGGCGGGGCCGCCGGCGGGGCTGGCGCAGCGGGCTCGGGCCGAGCGCTGGAGCCAGTGGTCGCTGCGGGGCGGGATGGAGTCCCTGGCGCGCGCCTTGGTGGCCTTCGTGTCCCCGCGCGGCGCCGAGCTGCGCTGCCACTCGCCCCTGACACACCTGGGCCGCCACCGCGGCCGCTGGCAGGTGGGGACACTGCGGTGCCACCCCCTCCCTGCGTCCCCGTCCCGCTCCCCACCCCCTGCCACCGTGCTGTCCCCTCCCCGGTGTCCCTTGGGTCCCTTCCCGGTGTCACCCGGGTCCCCCTCCCGCTCTCCATCCCCCCACCCGTGTCCCGTGTCCCCAGTCCTCTCCCCAGTGTCCCCAGCCCATTCCCCAGTGTCCCAGTGTCCCCGCTGTGTCCCCAGCTCACTCTGCCCGATGCCACCCTCTCGGCCGATCACGTTGTCAGCGCCCTCCCGGCCTCAGGTAGGGCAGCGCGGGGCGGGGGGGTCCCGCGGTGTCCCCGCGGTGTCCCCGCGCCGGGCTGATGTCGCCGCTGTCCCCAGCGCTGGCGCGGGCGCTGCCGGCCGAGGCGGAGCCGCTGGCCCGGGAGCTCCGCGCGATCCCGGCCGCCTCCGTGGCCGTGGTCAACCTGCAGTACGAGGGGGCCGCGCTGCCCGTCACGGTGAGGGCTCCCCGCGCTGTCCCCGCGCTGTCCCCGCTGTCCCCGGGCCCCCGGTGACCCCGGCTCGCCCCCCGCAGGGCTTTGGCCACCTGGTGCCATCCTCCGAGGACCCGGCGCTCCTGGGCGTCGTCTACGACTCGGTGGCGTTCCCGGAGCACGACGGGACCCCCGCGACCCCCGGGACCCCCTCGCTGCGGCTGACGGTGGGGACAGCAGGGGGGACACTGGGGACACTGAGGGGGTGACAGAGGAGGTTTTGGGGTGGTGCTGGGACCCCCTCACTGCGGCTCATGGTG